ACAAGGGGGCGCCATCCCCTTTGGCTCCTCCCTTATAAATTATAGGGGGCGCCATAGGGGTTGACTCCCCTTCCTTAATTTTTAAGGGGGGTGCCATAGGGGTTGGCTCCCCTTCATTAATATTCAAAGGGGGCGCCATAGGGGTTGACTCCCCCGTGACAAGTGTACGAAAAAGTGATTTGCATGCATGCAGAATGCCAAATGTAATATATTTTCTACACACTTCATCCATATACATTTACTCCTCTTTACAACAATTAATATTTCAACTACACAAATTAAATTTTTATCTCTACCACCATAAATTCAAAATTCAAATTTCAAATTTCAAATTCAAAATTTTTACTATAAATACTTCTCCTCCTCATTCACAACAACTCATCAAATATATTCCACAATTTAAATTCTACCAAATCACTCATATGTACCAATTTGTAATTAAAAAAAATTGTAATTATTTTTTAATATTAAGTTTATTAAATACAATTTAATTTTTATTTATTATTTGAAATTCTTTATTTATAAAATTATTATTTATTAAATATTTTTTAATTATTAATTATTATTTATTAAATATTTTTTAACTTATTATATAATAAAAATTATTTTCAAAATTCGGATTTAAGGGAGGAGGCAAAGGGGATGGCGCCCCCTTTATAAATTATAGGGTGCCTCTAACCTGGATGGCGTCCCTCTATAATTTATAAGGGAGGAGCTAAGGCCAATGACGCCCCCTTGTTATTTTAAAAAAAGACGTAAAAGTTGGTTAGTTTGGGATATATATATATATATATATATATGTTGAAATGTGAAAAATTCTAATTGAAGGACCATTTAGCAAATAATTTGACTAACAACCGAGAGAAAAGAATGACGCGGAGATGAATTCTCTCTTATACTTTGACTAACCGTAGGGCAAGAACTTGGAATTGTTGTTGAGGAAGTGAATTGAAGTGGAGGCAGAAACATAGAAAGAAAGCGTCAAAACGCACATCAGAAAGAACGAATCGTTGTCGTTTAACGCACACAAATCCTCCATGTGAGTTTAAGCTTTTCATGCTTCAATACTGATTAATATTTTACAGTTTTTTGTTTGTTTGTTTATCTCCATATAACCTAATTGTGTTACTTGGAATGATTGGAAAAATATATGAAGAAGTTTAGGGTTTTGAATGCAATTATTGTTATGTTTAGTTTTCACTATCTCAATTCCCTTTATTAGTTGTAATGAGTGCTATCTTTCAATTTGAAATTGTTTATTTGTTGTTTGGTTGCTATGAAGCACTAACACAAGACACGAGACACCGACCTGTACACTTAAACATCGACACCGACATGTACACTTACATGTCGACACCGGTAATAATTAGAAAATTAATAATAAATTGAATGTAATCAGAAGTGTCGGTGTCATGTAGTGTCTGACGGAAACACTTTTTTTTCAGAGGTGTCGGTGCTACAGGGTTTGGTTGTGTATAATTTTATTGGTTCTAGTAATGAGTAAATTTTCTGATAATGTTGGATGAATCAGACTGTGGATTGAAGAACACTAATTGCGAATACGGGACAATCACAATTTTTTTTGCAGTTCTTCTTTACAAGCTGGTTATGGTTTCCTTCAATTATTAGAGCTGGCTAGGAATTGTAGAAAGCTGTGTACTTTTAGTGTTTTGCGTACCCCACCCCTTCATTACTCGCCTGTTTTGAACTGCCAAAACCAGCTCAGAACATGTGGAAAAGAAAAAGAATACTTGAGCTATGGTATCTATATGCCTCTCCAGGACCACCCAAACCCCCAAGTTTCACGCTTTCTTGAAAAGGGCTTCTCAGAAATCACTGAAGGAATCGTTGGGAAAGCATTGCATGCACTTTGCGTGAAAGGTGTTTTTCAGCTCAACACATTCTATAGAAATACGTTGATTAACATGTACTCTAAGTTTGGTGACATAAAATATGCTCAACATGTTTTTGATAAGATGTTGGACAGGAATGATGCTTCTTGGAATAACATGATGTCAGGGTTTGTTCGAGTGAGTTGGTACTATGAAGCTATGAAATTCTTTTGCTATATGTTTGAAAATGATGTCAGGCCAAGCAGTTATGTAGTTGCTAGTTTGGTGACTGCGTGTGATAGGTCAGGGTGCATGACTGAGGGGGCACTTCAGATTCATGGTTATGTCGTCAAATGTGGCTTCATGTCTAATGTGTTTGTTGGTACTAGTTTGCTGCACTTTTACGGCACACATGGTTCGGTTTCTGAGGCTATTAAACTCTTTGAGGAGATTGAGGAACCAAATATAGTCTCTTGGACTTCTTTGATGGTTTGCTATGCAGATAATGGGCATACAACAGAAGTTCTAAATATTTATCGTCATTTAAGACAAACCGCGTTAATTTGTAATGAAAATACAATGGCTACAGTTATTAGAACTTGTGGAATGTTTGGGGATACAACCTTGGGATATCAGATCCTTGGAGATGTTGTCAAATCTGGATTAGACACTTGTAGTGTCTCTGTAGCAAACTCCCTTATATCCATGTTTGGTAATTATGATAGTGTAGACGAGGCATCTCGTGTGTTCAATAACATGAAGGAACGGGACACTATTTCATGGAATTCAATTATTACCGCAAGTGCACATAATGGTCGTTTTGACGAATCTCTAGGACACTTCTTTTGGATGCGTCGTACTCACACAAAAACGAATTATATTACTATATCTGCCTTGTTACCGGCATGTGGTTCTGCACAACATTTGAAGTGGGGAAAAGGACTTCATGGTCTAATAATAAAATCTGGACTTGAATCCAATGTTTGTGTATGCAATAGTCTTTTAAGTATGTATTCTCAGGCTGGATTGCCTGAGGATGCAGAGTTTGTTTTTCATACAATGCCAGAGAGAGATTTAATTTCATGGAATTCCATGATGGCAAGCCATGTTGAAGATGGAAAGTATTTGCATGCCATACGACTTTTGATTGAGATGCTCAAAACAAGAAAGGCAACGAACTATGTAACTTTTACAACTGCATTATCGGCGTGCTATAATTTAGAAAAACTGAAGATAGCTCATGCCTTTGTGGTTCATTATGGCCTACATGACAATTTAATCATAGGTAATACATTGGTCACCATGTATGGGAAGTTTGGACTGATGGATGAAGCACAAAAAGTGTGTAAAATTATGCCGGAGAGAGATGTGGTAACATGGAATGCACTGATTGGTGGCCATGCCGATAACACAGATCCAAATGCCGCACTCGAATCATTCAACTTATTGAGAAGAGAAGGTTTACTTTCAAACTACATTACTATTGTCAATCTTCTTGGCGCTTGTTTGTCTCCTGATTATCTTTTGAAACATGGAATGCCAATCCATGCACACATAGTTATGGCAGGATTTGAATTAAATACGTATGTCCAAAGCTCCCTAATTACAATGTATGCTGAGTGTGGTGATCTTAACGCAAGTAACTTTATTTTTGATGTACTAGCTAATAAAAATTCTAGTACTTGGAATGCCATTCTTTCTGCAAATGCTCATTATGGGCCTGGTGAGGAAGCACTAAAATTTATTGCAAGGATGAGAAATGACGGGGTTGATTTAGATCAGTTTAGCTTCTCTGTAGCTCTTGCTACTATTGGTAACTTGACAGTACTGGATGAGGGTCAGCAGCTTCACAGCTGGATTATTAAACTTGGGTTCGAGTCAAATGAATACGTTTTAAATGCTACAATGGATATGTATGGAAAATGTGGAGAAATCGATGATGTATTTAGAATCCTTCCCATACCAAAAAGTAGGTCACAGAGGTCTTGGAACATTTTAATATCTGCATTGGCCAGACATGGGTTTTTCCGCCAGGCTACAAAGGCCTTTCAAGAGATGCTTGATATTGGTCTGAAACCTGATCACGTCACGTTTGTTTCGCTTCTGTCTGCCTGCAGCCATGGGGGTTTGGTGGATGAGGGTCTTTCGTACTTCTCTTCAATGACTACTGAATTTGGTGTCCCTACTGGAATAGAGCATTGTGTGTGCATAATTGATCTTCTTGGGAGATCAGGAAGGCTTGCTGAGGCTGAAGCTTTCATTGATAAGATGCCAGTCCCACCAAATGACCTCGTTTGGCGCAGCCTGTTGGCTGCTTGCAAAATACACGGAAATTTGGAGCTGGGGAGGAAAGCCGCTGATCATCTTTTGGAGCTGGACTCATCTGATGATTCGGCCTATGTTCTATATTCAAATGTCTGTGCGTCTACCCAAAGATGGGGAGATGTAGAGAATGTGAGAAAGCAAATGGAATCACACAGCTTAAAGAAGAAACCTGCCTGCAGTTGGATCAAGTTGAAAAACAAGGTTACAACTTTTGGGATGGGAGACCAGTTTCATACACAAACTGCACAAATCTATGCAAAGTTGGAAGAGCTCAGAAAGATGACTAGGGAGGAAGGCTACGTGCCAGACACAAGCTATGCATTGCAAGATACAGATGAAGAACAAAAGGAGCATAATCTTTGGAACCATAGTGAGAGAATCGCCCTTGCATTTGGGTTGATCAATTGTCCCAAAGGATCGACTATTAGAATTTATAAGAATCTTCGTGTTTGTGGTGATTGCCACTCTGTTTTCAAGCTAGTTAGTAAAATTGTTGGTAGGAAAATCACAGTTAGGGATTCATACCGGTTTCATCATTTCTATGGTGGCAAGTGTTCTTGTTCAGACTACTGGTAGTGGATTGAATTTTGTTGGATCTAGTAGTTAAAAAATGTTAAATTTGGCAGGTTATTGAGTTTGATTTTGATATACTGTGTTAGATTTCTTAAATTGTTTCGAAATCATACATGCCACCATTGACCCAAATGTACAATAAAATTCAGAGAATACAGTCTCCTGCATTAATCTTGAAAATTCATGTCTCATTTTTGAAATATTCTTTTTGCTTCACATATTGATATTGGTAAGTTGTAAGCAGTTTATTCTTACTCTTTTATAAAGAGAATGGAGAAGAGAGAGGATTGGAGATCAATTCTACCGTATTTACCAGTGGTGATGCGTTCTCCCTCTCTATTTTGGCCGTCCCAAGTGGTGGAAGCTCTCAGAGAGCTTGAATGTGGAAGAGTTGACTCGGGCCGGCTCTTATTCATCTTCATGACTGAACTCAGGAACTCTCTTTCTCTCTCTTCCGAGCCCTTAGCCCCTTCAGCTGCATATGGATATGCCCTCTTCTTCGACGAGGTAAAATACCACACAGGTAACTTCACCTTTTTAAAACCTCAAATTTTTATTTTTTAATTGGATTTCCCTTGCATTTTGGGGACATAGATGGGTTTTGCTGTTTATAGCTGATGAATAAAAACACACTTGTATTGTTTGTTTCAGCTAATGTATAGAGAGGAATGTAGGAAGTGGTTTGAGGAGGTGCTTCCAGCATTGGGAGGTTTGCTTTTGAGGCTGCCTTCTTTGTTAGAAGCACACTATAAAAACGCGGATATGCTTATTGATGGAGAGGGAGCCACTATCAGAACTGGTCTTCGCATGCTGGATTCACAGGAAGCCGGGATAGTGTTCCTTACCCAGGTTTGTTTGTTACCAAAATTTATGTGCTTTCTTCTCATGGTTGAATATGCATTCTTTTTTATTCGCCCACTTTTAATGGTTGAAGGTTGTCTAAAAAGCGAATTCCACCTACACAGCAACTTGACATTAAAATTCTTAAACCACTTTGTTTTGTGTTTTCATTGCAAAAATATAAAATGGACAAAACTACATCAGAGGTTGTTTAATTTAATTTAGTTTGAAGTTTCAAACAGGTCATTTATATTTTTTTTCCTGTCAAATTATACCTTTATCTTTAAAAATGTTTACACGGTTGAATCAACTTTCATACTTAGTCCTCTTCTGAAGAGAACCCAAGATATAGACAGTAAATTGAAGAAAAACAGATGAATAGTGGAAATAGATGAGTGTATTATTTCTGAAAGTGTAAGATAAATGCAAAAGAATGAACATCCTAATGCCCTCTGAGCAAAGCACCTACAAAGAACAATTTTCTCTAACCATAACTAACACAAATGGTTCTCCAAAATATAACCCTTTATATCTCTTTTCAGTTCGTATATAACTGATTACCCTTAGTTGGATACCATGCTCTCTTCACCCCATGCCACATCAGCATTCCCTTTCTTTCCTCTACTATATTTTTCTAATAACTCCTCACAACAGGGGGTTAGGGTCCTAACATCTTCTATTACAAATTTGTGCATATATAATCAATGAATGATATACTGTAAAGAGTGTTTTACTAAGCACCAAAATTAGACCCTCTTGGACAACAAAATAGGTCACCATCTTAGTTACAAGTAAAAGACTAACTTGACTCGAAAAAAAGTTAAAGGAAGTTTTGAAACTTTAAATTAAGTTAAGGGTCTTGTTGGTTGAGTTTTTGGAGGGGAGGAAAGAGAATATTTTAATGGAAAAGTGTTTGGTTCATTCCCTTGAATTGGGGGGATTTGGACGGGAGAGGAGGGATGTTAAAATATAACTTGTTATATTGACAAAATTACATTTTTTAAAAATGAAATCCTAATTTATCCTTGAGGAAAATTTTCTACAAGCTTTCTTCTTCCTCATCTGCTTTGGTCTGTTAATTTTATTTATTTCTCAAGTCAACCTCTTAACATTGATGCCGTTTTCCTTTTATTCACATCAACACTATTTTTACCTGTTGCCGTTTCGATTTTTGTTGTTTCTCTTTTATTTTATTTTTTCAAAAGCAACTTCTTTATTTTCATTATTATGACTACATTTTCTTTTGTTTTCAAGTGTTTTGTTTTGTTCTTTTATTATTGTTTTGTTTCTTGAATTTTTTACCATGATTTATTTTTTCATTTATTTTTCTTCTTTTTTCATGAGTTTTGTTTTCTTTCTATTAATTTATTTGAAGCCTTGAATATTTTGTGTTGGATTATGTGTTGCTTATGAATGGAGAAATTTCTCTTTGGTAAGATATACTCAAAACTATTATTAAGCATAACTGATTTTACTTAACATGATTGTTGTATGATTTTAAGGATAAAAAGGTAAATTAGTTTTAAAATCTCTCCCCTTCCTTTGAACCACACATATATTTAATTAAAATTCCTCCTCTCCCCTCTCCCCTCTCCTCCCCCTCTTTCTTATTATTTTATTTTTAGTTTTTTGAAATCTTGGTATCCGGCCTTTCGACCGACTAATTTAAGGGGACGAATTCCACCGTCCACTTGCGTGGGCCACGTTTAAAGCTCGAGGAAAGCTCTGTATGGACTTGGCCCAACACAGAAATTGTTGGCACTTAGTAGGATTCGAACTTGAGACCTTGAGAGAAGTACTCTCTCAGGACCCGAGCCTTCACCACTCGGCCAACCCTTGGATTGAAACACATGTTCAATTAAAATACCTCTCCTCTCCTTCCATCCCTTCCCCTCCCCTCCATTAAAATCCCTCACCTCTCTCCGTTGAACCAAACAGACCCTAAAGGATTCTTGGTGTAGTTTTGTTGCCTATAAAATATACTCGCCCATCCTCAAAATAATACAACTTGGCTACTACTGTCACCAGCACCACCTTCAGAACTCTTGCATGACTGAGGCTGCTTCTGCTGCTGTTGTATGGTACATGATCATGACTTACGAACTGATGATAGTTATAATTTACAATTGCAATTGCTTTCCTTACAGGAGTTGATTGCCGCTCTTCTCGCATGCTCACTTTTATGTCTATTCCCAGTCCATGACAGATATGAGAAACAACTTCAACCAGTTAACTTTGACGAGTTGTTTGCGTAAGAAATCTGAATCGATTTTATTTTTATTCACCTGTTCAATTGCTTGTTTTAGCCTTCATTTTGATAATTTTATTTCTCATAGTGGTGTCAAACTGTCAATGGTATTTTCATATTTGTGTTTGAGAGTGACTTAACGACAGTGAATGAGAAGTATAAAAAGAATTGATCATATTGAGAACCTATTTGTTACAGTTCTGTTTTGTGAAAAAATCATTTTTTTTTTGTTTTTTAAACACTCACTTTAGTAATTGAAATCCATTTGTTTCAGTTAAAAAAAAAATGAGAATCTGAAAAGAAAACCTTAAAAATCTAAAAATTTGAGCAGCTTCTTTTGAAAATCTTTTTTTCAATAATTGATTTGCTTAAAACAAATTGATTTTTGTTATTGTAAACATGCACAATAGTTTTTTTTTTAAATGTCTAAAAATTAACCTCTAGATTATTAAATATCGAAATCCTTTTGTTTTTATAATCCGTAACAAACGGGCCTTAACTTGAGTGCCTTGTTTCACATGTTATAGGAGTCTCTATGATGATTACAGTCAAAAACAGGAAAGTAAGATTTGGTGCATCATTCATTATTTTCAAAGGATAAGCTCTGATATGCCTAAGGGTGTTGTCTCATTTGAGCGAAAAGTACTTCACTGGGATGATGATTCTGTTCACATTTCTTACCCAAATTCTAACTTTTGGAGCACTTCTGTTACACCTCTATGCAGATTCGAGGTACCTGAAGGAGATTTATTTTCAACTGTCGACAAAACTAATCTCTTTTAGTGATCTACTTGATTTGTAAATTGTAATAGGTGGTACTTTTACATTTCAATAGGTTCACAGTTCAGGACTCATAGAAGATCATTCAAGTGAAGCTATCGAAGTAGATTTTGCAAATGAATATCTTGGTGGCGGTGCTCTCCGTAGGGGTTGTGTACAGGTGCAATGCAAGATGTTTATAATTATATTTTCATCCTTAGCCTCTTACGATTAAATGTTAGGCAAATGTAGCTTCTTTAGGACATAAATTCTGTTTAGATTGACTTATTTGAGTTTATGTATTGACATTAGCATTTGTGAGACTGTTTGGAAGGGCTCATATAAACGGCTTCTGACATGTCCATAAGCTGTTTCCAACTTATTTCCATAAGCTTTCCATAATAGCTTATGAAAACAGGTTGTAGCTTATATGAAAACAATTTGACTATCTTATCTTTTTTATAGGAGGAAATTCGCTTCATGATCAGCCCAGAATTGATTGCTGGCATGCTTTTCTTGCCGGCCATGGCGGATAACGAGGCTATAGATATTGTTGGTGTGGAAAGGTTCTCGAGTTATAAAGGGTAACTGTTACACAATGGATCTAAAGCTAGAAATAAGTTTTTTAGACGCTGTTTTTAAGTTGGAAGAAAAGCATGTTTCCTGATTGTTATGCCTGACATGGTGCATTTCCTCTTCTGTTTTTCTTGCGTACATTGGCGTATAATTAGTGTTTTCTACACAATAACAATATGCATATAATTAGGAAATACTTTTCTGATGTGATGTCTTATTGTGTTATTTTGTGCTTCCTTCCTAACCTAACAATGATAATATCTCTTGATTTCTTTAGATATGCATCATCGTTTCGATTTTCTGGGGATTATGTGGATGAGAAAGATGTAGACACCCTTGGAAGACGAAAAACCAGGATAGTTGCAATTGATGCATTGTGTGGTCCGGGGATGAGGCAATACAGGGAAAAGCTTCTCCTCCGGTTTGTTAACCTTCTTTTTATGTGGCTTCTGTTCTTTAGGATTCAGATTTAGTACTTATTCTATCTCTTTATTTTTCAATTTTTTTTCTTCTGAATGTGAAGAAAAGCAATCCATATTATATTGATCATAGGATATGATATAAAATTTAATGGAAAAATATTTTTGTTTTTTTATACATTTTTTTCAATTTTGCAAAAAAGTTCTAACATAGCACGAATTGAGCTTGTTCATTCCTGCAGTGAAATCAACAAGGCATTCTGTGGGTTTCAGCAGCACTCTAAATATCAACAGTATCGGAAAATACCGCAAGAGAAGGTAAGTTCATCTTTACTGTGACTTTCTAGAATCAATATCGTTTTTGCTTGCTGTTATTCGTTGTTCAGCTATATGTTTAAAACATTCTTTGTTTCTCGTAGTTTGATGCTGCAACGTCAACGTCTATGGAAACGAGTGAAGGAAAAAATTCATATCAAGAAATCAGAAGTTTTCAAAATGATTACAATATGATAGAGAAGAGCAATGATATTGGAGTTGCAACCGGAAATTGGGGATGTGGTGCCTTTGGAGGGGATCCTGAAGTAAAGACCATAATTCAGTGGCTTGCAGCTTCTCAAGTAATTTTATATTTTCAGTCATAAATGAATATGTAGTCACTGCGCGTACTTGTCTGAATGAATTCGAAATTAATGCTTATGTTTACGCATTCATCATGAATAAGCTCACTTATTTTTCTCGCCATTACTTGTATATGCATTATTTATTTTGTCAAAAATAGAGGATCTTTTGACAGAAACAACTGTATTTCTGGAATTTACTTTTGACAATTTGATCTCATGCTCGAAGACGTTAAACTTTCTCTTGGCTCGTCATACCTTGTTGCAGGCTCGAAGACCTTTCATAGCATACTACACGTTTAGCTCGGGGGCATTGCAGAACCTAGACAAGGTAATTTGACATATATATTAAGTAGTTGTACCTGTACAATCTATTTGCAATTTTGCATTCAGATTAAAAGTAAAAGTTGTCTTTTCACGCAGTGTTGATTTCTCACTGGATATTGTTTCATGTCGTGGCAGGTTACATGCTGGATTTTGTCGCAGAGGTGGACTGTCGGAGACCTATGGAACATGCTAGCTGAGTACTCAACAAGTAGATCAAAAGGAGAAACTAACGTCGGCTTCCTCCGATGGCTCCTTCCATCAGTACATGCTCATGGTTCTAGGATGCATTAATTTGCCAAATATGCTTTGTTCTGCTGTTGTTTATCTATGACTTTTGTCAATGTTTGTTTCTCTTGAAAAAATGTTTGGCTATTACAAGGAAAAAACAGTTGAGAATCTGTTATTATCGTTTTGAACTTGTATACAGTGGAAACTCTTTAAATTAATACTCGGTAAATTAATAAACTCTTTAAATTAATACTCGGTAAATTAATAAACTCTCTAAAATAATAAATTTGTCCGGTCCCGATTTGGGCCAATGTAAAAAATTCGATAAAATAATAAGATAATAATTTTTTGGGAGATCCCTTTATAATTTTCGATCTCAAGAAAATTATAAATTAATAATTCATAGAAACTGAAAAATATATTACACGAATGAAAAACTTGCTTAAGAATACATTGAACACATTTGTTCCACTTGTTTACATTTACTGTATTTCAAAAGTCATTATTGATTTCCAATGCATATGAACACAGTAGTTACTAATTTACGTTGTCCTAAGGTTTGCTGCAATGTAATTCTAAGAGGCATAGACTAATTTATCTTTTTGTTTGGTATGTACAGTATAATTACTTAAAAACTCTTTAAATTAATAATTATTAATTTATCGATAAATTAATAACTCTAAATTAATAAATTTCTCCGATCCTGACATTATTAATTTAAAGAGTTTCTACTTTATATCATATATAGTTTGATTTCGGAGATAAAAGTTACCATATTATTATTTTTTTTAATTGAGTTTTTGACTTTGAAGCTGGATCATACTAATATATAACATAGGATTATTTTCCTTGAAAATTTTTGTTACTCTCTTTTTATCATCCACTCTGAATGCCATTGATGATCCCGTAGCGTTTCAAGAGAGGTAAAACTCAAAAGATAAGTAGAACATGATTGCGAATTTTCAATTATTAGACAAAGAGAATGAAACTGAACTTCAAATGACTGAAACAATTTATTTTTCATTATGCATTCGAGTTTACATACTAACAGCTGGAAGAATAATCTTCAAAATACAACAACAAAATTACATGGATGATACATCAAAAGAGTGAAAAAAACCATGAGATAACAATGCTCATTGCTGTCAAATAGTGGCCATAGCAGCACTACACCGCTATAGCGCAACGTAATTTGATCTACTTACTATCGTTGTTCTTCTGTGATACACTTTATTACAAAGAGTTTTGTTAAATAGTAATTATAGAGTCTTGGAGATTGAACGAGCCACTATTTTCTGCAATCCGCGATTGACAACATTGACGATACTAGATATAGCACTTGCACGTATAAACGGAGCATTCCAAGACCATCGCTATAGTAGAGACAAGTCTTCATGTCCTAAAATACTGACATATGATATGATCCTGAAAAGTGATGTAAAACGTAACGCTACACAATGAAATTTATTTTCGTAAGATATATCCTCAAGACAACGAGTGGCCTCTTAGAAAACGCCAAGGTCCTGTTCCCGTTCCCATCCTGCACACACATACACACGCATAAAACATAAATGCTTATCGTATAAGTAATTATGTATAAGCTATTTTCTCGCGTTCAACATGTTATAAGTTGTTTTCATAAGTATCGAAAACATTAGATAAGTTTACCTCCATACACCAGCGAACATGCGGAGACTCATGTAGATGGTTAATGCGATCCAGATCCCGATAAAACCCTTAGTCTTGTAGAGAAAGAATAAAGAAGTAACACTTGCTAATGAGACCAAGACCTGAGAAAACAGCATAGTAAATTTATGAATAAAATTCGACAGAGACGAGAAAATATGAAAATACGAAAAAAGGTAAAAGAAAATGGGCATGCAAACTCGCCAAGGAATATGCAGAGTAAGCAAAATCAGATGCTCCATAGTTCACACCATCAAAAACAAAGGCTAACGAATTGATCGGTTGCGTAGCAGCAACAAACTGGCGAATTAAAATGAAATTAGATCAAGAATTAGATGTAACGAACTTTCACATCGAATCATTGTGTTGTGCGAGGAAAATATACCGGGAGGCCTAGTCTGATTAGGTGAATAACTGCAACGTCCTTGGAAAATACTCCGGCGCCAAAGTATAATCCGCCTCCAACTAGTAAAGAGAGTCCAACTCCTAAAACAAAACTCATTTGTAGCGTTCTTGTTGCAGCGGTAGTCACTTTAACGTAGTCTTTCTCAGCAAACGAACATGCGAGAATTGCCTGTGAAAAACGAACACATGAAGTAGGCAGATCATCTCAATAACAGGAAAAAAATGTTGATGTACCTGAATTGCAACAGCTAAACCGTCGGCGAGGAGGGAAGATGTCATCCAAACTTGGAGGCAAGTTTGGAATGCGGCCATTGGAATCGGACCTAACCTTGCTGCTAATGACGCCGATAAGGTCACACAGAATGTCACTGCTATAACTCTGGCCAACAGCAGACCACCTATTGAAATTGAAATCCAAGTTGAACGTGTAAGTAAATTCGAGCATTTTAATAAGTGATCAATGTATGTTTGGTTGCTATACTTAAAATGATAAACGGTTGTATGCAGTCGCGTTCTCGTGATTGCACTCAGTTAGCCATATTTGAACCGTCTGATCAAAATCGAATAGTTAAAGTTTCATGCTCGGTATTTTAGATAAATAAAAAATCAGCATACCGTTTTTAAGGAACCTGAAAATCTGCAAATCCTTCATGCTTGGAGGTAAGAGGTCCACTTTTCGCATTAATATAAACAAGAGGAAACTTGCCATAATGTACCTAAAAGTATCATCATTTTGTAAGTTTAAGTCATGAGAATCAAAAGTTAGAACATTCCTATTAGGATAAAGCAAAGTAAGACTTACTGAGAGAGCACATGTGAAATGGCTGCACCTCTGATGCCCAATTTGAAGTAAAAGATAAGTAGCGGATCCAAAGCGACATTCAATGTATATCCGGAAACTAAGTAAAACCATAGCAAATAAATGAACCGAGTTAGGGAAAAACAATGACATATTTGAGAGACTCTCAACACACTCTCCCTCATGTCCAAGAGTGGACTATCTGGAGTGGGATCACAATATGTTCAGACCATATATTGCCTGATGCGAATCTCTTAACAGAATGTCTACCCCTTATGAACTCATTTTGAGGCCATATGTCATGTATTATGAGTAGATCAATTTCATGACAAATGGATCATTTGAACTTACCAATGACATATAAAGGAGTTGTTGTGTCTTTGAACCCTCTAAAGATTCCTTGCATGGCTAAAGAGAGAAGCACCGCCGGAGCACCTAAGGCTCTCAACCGTAGGTACTTCGTAGCCGGGGTCATCATTGGAGAATCCTACAAAAAAGAGAAATATTTCAACTTAACAAAAGTTTATTTTAGTTGATTAAGATATTGAACATAGTAGTATTGATGATAAAGATACATACACTTTTCAAACCCATTGCACCTAATAGAGGTTTTGCTGCAAATATAAGAGTTGCAGCTTGAATAAGGCCAAGGACTGTGCCAAAAAGTAATGCTGTTGAAGCTGAGGCAATGTGCCTTTTCTTCCTTATAGGTCTTGACTCACTCTTGTTACCATTACTAGTAACAATAGAAGACTTGCTTATATTTGAATTAGCATCTGATAAGGAAATTTAGAATGTTAGAATAACCTAACATGAAATGCACTCATTTCTCTATCGTATCTCTGTAGCACCGACACTTTAGATTGAAAGCGTGTTCGGTGTCTGACACAGACATCACCTGGTTAACAAATTCACACCGAAAAATGGACATTTATGCACTAAAATAGAAAGAGAGAGATAGAGAAAAAGTACCATCTCCATTTTTCGTCTCATTTTTCAAGGTACCATCTTGTTTTGTTGCACCTGCTTCAATGTCTTCAAGCAAATGATCATCAGGCATTACTTCATTGGACTTCGCCTTAATGCTTTCATTGGATTGCTTTTCTGCTGCTATGCTATTGATCTTAGCAATAGTATCTTCTTCAGCTACAAAGGAAGTCGTAATACTGACCAAAGGGAAAATGGTAATCCTCGAAGCCTGGTTGAACACCGCAATGGAAACTCCTGCAGCCGCAAGTTCCACCGGCCCTAAACACACAAAAAAGATGAAAATTTAGCTTCAACCAAGGCACAACATTAAAATGATCTTTGTCACAACTCAGATCAAGACCAGAGCGGCCTCAAGTTTTTGGAGGCCCTGTATAGATTAACTGCAGATTAAGTTTAACCATAGCAACACGAATAGATGCCATGTTTAAATGCGATTTTACGAGGCCTTAGGCTGTCTACAATAGTCTGCTTTGCACATCCTCAAAGACGGCCCTGCATCATGATCTGGTGAGAAGAAAAAAATGTACCCAAGTGGCCTATGAATGCTGTGTCTATAAGAGAAGCAATTGGATCAGCAGCAACAGCAAGTGCAGAAGGGAATGCAATCCCAAGAATCTCCTTAGCTAGTGTGTCCATCTTGAAAACAAGGCTACATTTACATCAACAAAGCCAACTATTAGTACTTTGTAAAAAGACTTAAAGAAAAGGCTCCAAGAAACAATGGTGATTGAATGTACCTTGCATCTTTGAAGAAAACTGATAGAGGCATTAACCACTTGTTCTTGACTGCATTATTATTCGCGATACCGTTATCGTCCATGATAGCAACTCAATCAAGAAGAGTATGATGCCTTGAGGATATGCCAATCTGTTATGTTTAAGTTAGTTTCAATGCAAAATCAACTATAGTGAAAAACATAGAAACCTAAAGATTGTTTCAAATTTGAACCAAAAGAGTTAAATAATGTGACACCTTTTATCATTGAAAGGTGACAGAAAATTTATGTATTTATAATGTTGCATATATGATTGAACCTTCTTCTCATGTGTTTCTATGAAACTTCTTTGTAAAGTAACAACAAATATATAAGCAAATAGTAATTCAAGAACCTCCCCCAGTTCCATAAACCCCTGATAGAAACATAAAACAGATAAATTTTTTTCTTTTAATAATGAAAATTTT